CTTAATGGTGTTTTGCATCACTAGCTTATTAAGAACCCCCAGCTTAACCTTGAACTACACTCCAATATAAACAGCATTTTTTAATATAAACATGGAGCTAAAGATAGAAAAAAAAAATTAAAGGACCCAAGGTTAGCACAACCATAGGCAGTAGAAGCATCTAATAGGAATTATGGGTATGCTGTTCTCATATTTCAATCAGTTCAGCATTTTAAGAACACTCATCCCAACTGCCATCTGGAGGACAGGGGAACTCTTGAGTGCAGAAGGTTATTAACACATTATTTCCCACTAATACTTTCAACACATTGTCTGTATGTTCCGATGTTCTCCATGGGGAATTAGACTTGTCAGTCTGATCTTGGTGCCAGGGAAGGTCATGGAATAGATCACAATGAGTGCCATCATGCAGCATGTGCAGGACAACCAGGTGATCGGGCCTAGTCAGCATGGGTTCAGGAAGGGCCGGTCCTGCTTGACCAACCTGACCTCCTTCTATGACAAGGTGACCTGCTTAGTGGATGAGAGAAAGGCTGTGGACATTGTCTACCTGGACTTTAGTAAAGCCTTTCACACCACTTCCCACAGCATCCTCCTGGATGAGCTGGCTGCACACGGCGTAAGCATCACTGGGTAAAAAACACTAGCTGGATAGCCAGGCCCAAAGAGTGGTGGTAAATAGAGTTAAATCCAGTTCGCAGTAAGTCACAAGCGGTGTTCCCCAAGGTTCATTACTGGAACCAGTTCTGTTTAGTATCTTTTATCAATGATCTGGACCTGGGGATCGAGTGCTCCCTCAGTAAGTTGTCAGATGACACCATGGAGAGCAGAAATGTTGATCTGCCTGAGGGTAGACAGGCTCTACAGAGGGGTCTGGACAGGCTAGATCAATGGGCCAAACTCAACTGCATGAGGTTCAACACCACAAAGTGCTGGTTCCTGCACTTGGGTCACAGTAACCCCACACAATGCTGAAGTAACCCAACACCAGATTGAAGTTGCAGAATGCACAGGGAGAAAGTATGTATTACCACATAAAGGAAGTGCAAAAGTTTGCCCTGCCCAGAGTAAAATGGTATATGTTGAAGAGTACTATGTTTTAAGTGTATGGACTGATGTAAAAGGGAAGTTCAACCACAAATGTTTGCAAACATTGTGCCACCAAATGTTCCAGAGATATACCACAATGCATGCATAAATCTCCCTTGAATGGCTACCTACCCTTCACAGCTTCTACAGGTCTGAGGAAACTGTGGACACAAGCCAAAAGCAAGTTTTTTCACATGAGATTTATAGAAGAGTACTGATGTCTCTCAAAGGCAAAAACATTGTACTAAATGCAACACAGGGCTCCACCCTTCTCTGAAGACAGAGCTGTAAAAACACATATTTCAACTAAGTTGTAGATGTAGCCACTGATATTCAGTTCCATCCATGTTTCATGCACATCAAAATAATACCACTTCATGAAACTACAGTGACATACACTTTGTCTATCAGATGCAGAAGCAACCATCAACACGCACTACTCTAGCTTTTATTAAGTAACTTTACAAGATGGTTAACAGATCCTTAATCTTAAAGTCATCTCATCACTAGAGGCAAGTTTTAGAAATGATCTGTTACAAACAGGAACAAACATGAAGTTTAGATGAGCCCTTTAGATAAAGCTCCTTCCCAAACTACATCTTCACAGGACGCTTTCCAACTCAAATGTTGATAACAAAGTAGTAAGACGTTCGAACGATCTACTATTTTCCAGTTGCAAAATCCCCATCTTTTTACAGCAGTATACTAGCTACAAAACGTCAAACACTAACTGAAAAGTTTTAACGCTTAGTACTTGAAGTGCTTCCTAAAAATTGCTTTTGACTTCCTACAGTAAATTATAATCATCACTAGGTTCACCATAACAGAGTACACATACATTACTGCAAGCTTTAGTATATGATAAGAGGTACTCTTCTAAACATTAAGTGTTCTGTAAGCTCAACAGTAAGGAATATTAGGTGCAACAGTTCACTTAAAGCATAACAGAATACAATCTAGTTTGTTAAAGTAGTTCTAATCCCATGACTCGAATGCACTTGCAGAATATGACTCCTTCATTCCTGGCTTCATGTTGCCTCTGCCTCTGTAATCCTAGAAACAAAACAGGTACTAGTTTAGAATCAGTAACACATCCAATCATTTAACAGTACAAGTGACTATAGAGCAATTTTAACTTCCTGAATGCATGTTCAAATTATGTTGAGACATTTTAAAAAATAAATACAGAAGCTCTTTCAACAGACTTCTATACATAAGGGTTTTAGACTCCAGTGTGAAATTAATGCACTTCAATCAACCTCAGATTTTATCAGGTGTGTGAATAATCCTTCTCCAATGTTCAAATGCCACCTTATTCTTTTACCCCACACAGACTAGTTTACATAACTTTGGGGAAAAACTTCCTTCTCAAATTCTTATTTAAAAGTTATTATCTGCAATACTGTCCCAGCAAAACCCTCTTTTCCTTTGAAAAAGAATGAAGTCCAGTCACCTACAAGATTGTCCCAAAATGATCAGGTAAGAGTCTCCAACAGATTCCTCTTTTAAATTAATCAAATGGCCTTGTCATACCTTCTCTTTGAAAGACAAAGAATACTGCAAAAACAAGTAAGGTGTTACCTTCCTTCCCCAGGAGAAAGGGCATCAGTGTCCTTACTGAACACTAAATGATACAAGCCTCTCTTTCAGTAATGGTAAAACAGCAAAAGAAACCCAAACCAGCTTTAATGGCTAATTTTAAAGAAAAAGAGGGCTGATTACAAATCTGTGGTTTCTGTCACAGTCACAGACATCAGAAGGTCTCGTAAGAAAGGAATTAGAACATGATCTCCAAATCAAGAGCTAGTGTACTACATGTATGTGATGAAGAGGGCAGTAATCCCAAGATAAACAGACTTATTTCTCCTGAAACTATTCTATTCACAAGTATGTAGTCTAAGAGTTACAATCAGATTTGGTAACTGAGGTTGTAAAGCACACAAAGGACAACCTTGAACCTGGAAATGACAGATTCCATACAATGCTGGGAGACACTCCACAAAGGCTGGAAATGTGTATGTGGAAGCAATCTAGACTCAAAGGTTAATGAGACCCACCTTTGAAAGCAATCTAGAAAAATTAAAGTGCTCTTGAACAGGAATATAGAACAAAGATTCACTGAGGCTGCAAGCGTGAGAAGGAAGCAAAAGTTTAAGTGTGTAACTGAGGTCTTATGAAGACTCAAAGACAGAAGATTCAGATTTGATTAAGTCAGCCAAGTAAATACATAGAAAGCACTCAATACTTTCAATAATTATGGTATGGAAAAAGATAACTAATGAAAGTAAGGTCTGAGTTTGAACTCATGCATCAGACACTGGGTAAGCAGTGAGAGTGAGGAATATTTATCTTGTGGTCCTTAAGAGTATTAACATTTGGAATGCAACTGAGATACTTCCCTAAGAACTTTATTGCAAGAGATCAAGGAATGGCTTCAGATGAAGACATTAAAATCCAAGTAGATATAAGCAAGAAGTATCAAACAACAGTTGAAAAGATAAAAAAAGATTATTCAAAGTAGGAGTAGGCATAGAATTTAAATACTAAAGTAGTGACTGCAAAGTGATTTCAGAGCTACACCGCCTTGGCTGCTTCATTTACTCAAGTTGCATTTTAACATCTGCTACCAGCAGCATTAAATGACCATGAGGCTCTTCCTTATCACAAACATTACAAATCTGACATGAGCCAGGCTGGGGAATTTATCTAGCTATAATAGCTGAAGTTTTCAGTCAAGCGAGTTACTTGACTGAGTGATAACAAGCAGTAACTAAATAGCAGCAGAAACTGCATGAAGTTCAACAAAGACAGATGTAAGGTCTTGCATCTGGAAATACATAATCCAAGAATGCAGCTGAGACTGGGTTCCACCTGGCTAGAGAGCAGCACTGTGGAAAGGGACCTGGGGGTCTTGGTGGACAACAAGCCCAACATGAGCAAAGTGTGCTGCAACTGTAAAGAAAGCCAACAGGATGCTGGGTTGCACTACAAAGCATCACCAGCAGAGATAAAGAAGTCACTATCACTCTCTACTCAGCACTGCTGAGACCACACCTTGAGCACTGTGTCTAATTTTGGTCCTCACTATACAAAAAAAGATGTGGACAGACTGGAAAGGGTCCAGAGAAGGGCAACAAGGATGACCAGGGGACTGGAAGACCTGCCGTATGAGGAAAGGCTTAGAAAACTGGGCCTGCTCAGCCTTGGGAAGAGAAGGCTTAGGGCAGACCTTATTACCATGTACCAGTACATAAAGAGTGGCTACCAAGAAGATCGAGACTCCCTTTTCAGAAGAAGTCACATGGAAAAGATGAGGGGTAATGAACACAAGCTGCTTCTGGAGAGATTTCAATCGAACTCCAGAAGAAATGTTTTTACCATGAGATCAATCAGACATTGGAACAATCTCCCAGGGGAAGTGCTGAATTCCCCTGCATTGGTCAGTTTTAAGAGTCAGCTTGACAGGGTGCTGACTCATCTCATTTAAACTATACTTTTACCTTGAAAGGTTGGACTAGATCCTTGTGGTCCCTTCTAACCTGGCATTCTACAATTCTATGAAATAAGTAGCAACTATTTGCTCCTACCTTACATGTGCAGTAGAGAAACTTCCAAAACTACAGCCTTTGGATATGTTTGCACAAACCTCTTCTTCCACAAAGAAATTCTTGACACTACAGATCAAGATTACTGCAGCTAGTATGGCCACACTGTATAAGAGTTCAAGCCAAGCAAGTTATCCAAAATTAGTCTCTGCAATACTGACAATGTTGAAGATGCACAACTAAGGTAAGGGACACAGTTACAGGCAAAACAGTTTTTGTGGCATTACTCTGGGTATGCACTGCTAAACACAATTTGATACTGAGACTAAGTTCTAAGAGCCAGTTCCAGCTCATTTTTAGACTTACCTTTTTGGTTTTAACTGATGCAAAGGCTCTTTCTCCTTGAAAACAAAAAGCAATTTCTTCCAACCAAACAGGAACTTCCTGCTGGGCCTACATAATTAGAAAAGTGAATTTAGAGACTTTGACCGCTTTACCAGTTCATATTAAGAGTTCCATAACTGTACCAAATAAATAATAGTTGCTGAGTACATTAAAGTGAAATTCTGAAGAACAGAAAAAGTTAAGCACTAAGATTTGAAACTTACATCTGAAAGCACTTTAACTAGAGATTGTGCAAGATGTGCATCAGAAATGTCATCAAAGAAGCAAACTGCTTTGCCTGTATTTCCACAACGACCAGTTCGTCCAATTTGGTGAACATACTCTTCAATGGTGGAAGGAAGATCAAAACTAATGACATGTTGAACATTTTCAATGTCCAAACCTCTTGCTGCCACTGAAGTTGCCACAAGAACTTCACACTTTCCAGAACGAAAATCCTGAAGAGCTATTTCTCTCTCTCTCTGTTCTCTATCTCTACAAAGAAAGCAATAGTTAGAATGGATGTCTCAAAAATGTGCGGTGATATTTAAGATACACATTACAAGATCATGACTAATGGGCACAAGTTCTCAGGATAAAAAGCCAACAACCCACACACTACCAGTTTAGGCTTTCTGAATTTTTAACTGATTATCAGTAAGACATAGCAACTATTTTAACCTAAGTCTCTTGAGAATTTTTTTTTCCCCCCAAGGAACAGTCATGTATCAAACTCACTGCCTCCCTAAGTACATCCACTTCAAGTGACTGTTTCTTGATGCCATAGTTAGAAGTGCTATTCCTATTTGTTTGTAGCAGGGAGCCAGAATAACAAAGATGAAGTTTTTCTAGAATCCTGTATAGACCATTTTTCAGATTAGAAAGTGTGGCCAGATGACAGTACAGAACTTGCTTTTTGGTTATCATCATGAGAAGAAAACTAGATTTGCTCTGGGGTTTGCATTTTTAAAGAATAATTAGATATTATCCAGTACTTAATTACAGTACAGTAGATTAATCCTCTTTGTTGTCTAAATGAGAGAAAAAAATAGAAAGCTAAAAAGAAGTGCTATTTTGAATATAACATGGGACATCTAGTGAAGTCTGGTATGACCACTACTCCAGAGAAGAGCAACTTGTAAACTACCTTCAACCTGAACAAACAAGGAGTCAAAAATCAGTAACATTTGTGACAATTCAGCAGCTTCCATGAAACCAGTTGTTCTCTTTCTAAGTATACCTTAACTCACAGAATAATATTTCTACAGAATTGTTTTAAGAACCTCCTCCCACACAAAGTAGGTTATGGGACAGCACTTCAGGTTAGCCAAGAACAGAAGGCCAGATCTTCTCAAAGTGACCCTGCACACACCTGTAAAACTGACAGGGCACAGGATACACACAAGCATCTTGTATATGCATAGTAAGAACACTTTAATCCATCTATAACCTTGATATTCTGACATCTGTCAGAACACTATCCAAAACAACATTCTGTTGGCAAGAATTCAAGTCCCTTCCTCTCATTACAAGATGGAAAATGTTGCAAAACTGTATTTTTGATGTGCTACAGTTCACTGGGAATTGATATTCAGTTTGTTGTCTTACATTTTGACATACAACCAACCATCACAGAACTACATTCCAGCTCATTACATGAAAGACAGTCCAACTTTTTAGATGGGTCTAGGCCTGGAATTACTATTTCACCTTTTTTCTCAGCACTCATTCAGTTATGCAACATTAATGAGTAGGCTATACACACAAGTTAGAAGCATCTTCTCTTTAGATTGATCTCCATGCAAATGCTATGTACATGAACACATCAAGGACACAAATGTCAGCATCAGAAATCTGTGTAGTACATGACTCAACTTATTACTGTGAGAAAGCCTGCAAGATCCACAGCTGCCATTTGAATCTATGAATACCATCTCATGAGTAACACCAAAAAATCTGATTTTGCTCACAAAAATGACAAAAACTACATGTAAACAGCTGATACTACCAAATTTATTATATATTAATTTCTTTTTTAGTAGTATGCATAAGACTCTCATTAAGCATGGGAAACCAGAAAGATGTATACTCAAAATGCTGTGAGGACTGGCCTTCAGAAACACCACATTCTCAAAAGGGCAGAGCTCCTGAGGATTACAGGGCTATTTGAAACAAGACAAGCTAAGGTGCATGGACATAGCCAAACATGAAATCTCAAGAAAAACCTCCTGTAAGATGTAATATTGACGTTCATTTAATATTACCTGACTTTCACTTAAAAACTACTTACCCATGGATGCTAGTGGTTGGTATTTTTTCTTGACAAAGAAAGGCTGCAATGTAGTCCGCTTTTTTCTTTCTGTCCACAAACACTATGGTTCGCTCATGACCTATGTAAAACAATATTTCAGATTCACTACAGTTTAAACCTGATGAATTTTCACTACTCACAGCAGTTACTTACATAAATACCTAATATCAGAACAAGTTTTTAATAACGTCTTTAAGGTATGATGGTAATTTCTTGCCCGTGTAGAACTTAACTAAATTCAATCCCTCAATTTCTAGATCAACACAGAAACCTAAATGAAGACAAGTGTGTTCTACTGTTCTCCTCAATAAGAAGAGGAAACAAATCTTGCTCTCTGTGACAAGTACTCCCTTTCTAGAGCATGTGGCCAGAGATGGCATGCCATTCTGAGCACTGAACAGCAAAGAAACAGACCATTTTTTAATTCTGAACTCCCTACCAGTTTTCAGCATTAAAACTTTAGATACATTCAGAGTAAAAAACGGAAAAATCCCAGCTATTAACAAAATATAGGCCCAAATGTTCACATTAGAAGTTTAATATATCTATAATCTAGAGACAATTACCCCAGATGCTGAAGTACTGTAACTGACGATATAAAGAAACTAATCATCTGGGAAGCTTGTCTGGTACTCAATAGAGATCAGACCTTCACAAATACCCATAAATACAAATATGCCTAAAAACCTACAGAACTCCCCAAGGTCTCCTTCAAGCTTCAATCAGTAGTACTGTACAGCCTATGATATGTATAACAGAATGGAATCACAACCTGGTCAATAGCAAGAGCACAAGTTTAAAAACAAGAAATTTTGTCTTCCCTAGAAAATGATTACCAATAAGGAAAGTTACCTATGCTTTGTAGGATTTCTACCAGTTTATCCCTCTTGGAGGACTGAGAAACCTGAAGAATATTTTGCTGAACATCACTGCAAGCTCCACCCACGTGTCCAACAACAACAAATAAATAATCAGTTTTCAAAAATTCGCCAGCCAGCCTTGAAAAGAAAATTGAGAAACAGAGTCTACTATGTAGCTTATTTCTGCTTTAAGATCAAGTAACTTCATTTAGGTTTAAGCATCCCTCTCAACAAATACTTGTATCATTCCTCACAGGGCACAGAATATAAGTAGTCACATCTGCATTTTTTTTTTAAAGTTAAGAGTCTGCATTGTTTTCTAGACAGCTGTACAAAAAACCGTGATCAGTAAGAAGATGCAGACTGATTATGTCCCAGCAGCTTTTCATAATACAAACACTGCATTATCTAGCCATGACAGAAAGGGTTCCACATATATGCTCATAATAAAATGTGTTACTGACATATATGCCCACAAAACCATTTTCATAGCACTATTTCAGCACTAGCTGGAGGGACAGGGTAAAATCCTACACAGACCAGAATTCAAATCAGGCTTCCAAGAGACACTATTCTTTTAGAATGTTCAAGAAAAGTACTGCTTAAAAACAGTTTATTAAATGACATTTATTTACCAGCTGCCATAGGCAAAACTTAAGTTCTGTTCAGCATTCCTCTTCAGTTACTCCTTATGTAGGTGATCTCATCCGAGAGACCAAACTCACCAAAATAGGTAATTCCTTGGAATGTCCCATAATACTCAAGTTTTACTAAACTGTGTTAACTTATTATACAAGTGTGCTTCATGTCCAGTACCCACAGAGCACCTTCCACTGCAGTACAATTCAGATGGTAAACCAAGTCAATCTTTAAACTAAAAAGAGGCAATCTCAAGTTTTAGAATAAACTTATAAAAAAGAGGGAAGTCTTAAGAATGCCTTAAGGACTCGAATCTCCCACCTGATTTATAGGGGTAACTGACACTGAAAGGGTGTTTTTCATATGAAATAAACAAGTTGAGAGATTTAAATGTGATTGGTTTTAAGACCTGACTGATTTAAGATCTTAGAGATGTAATTCTAAACTGAAAGTAAACAGCAAGTTTAAACTCTCTGAAAACAGAACAGTAAATAAAAAACAGGAAAGGAGAGGAGAGCGAAAACACCTTTTAATGTGAGATATAAAGCCCCAAATGCTAACCTGAAGTTTGTCAGGTGGCTAGGAAATGCATGATTCTCCCAACTCACATACACAGGAAAAGCCTTTATGATGAGACTAAAGGTTTATGTAACAGCAGAGTCCCAAACTCAGGTATGAAACCAAACAGTTAGAATTTAAGCTGATTACACCCACTACAGAGAAGTGCAGGAGAGCCTGAACCCAGCAGGGCCAAACAAAACACCTTGTCCTATACCACCAAAGCAGTATACTGTCTAAAGTTGTTTTGATAGTAGAGTATGAAAAAAATATTAGCTTTCCCAACTCCAGAATCCTAAAGTCAGTAAATCCAGGAAGAAACTGACTCTAGACATGAAGAGTTTTCACTCTGATAACACCTTCAAGTATTCCAGTTTCAGAAGGTTTCAAGAATCTTGTTACACACTTCCAAACCACAATCCAAGCACTCAGGTTTCTAACTTAGAAATCCTGCAAGACTGACAGCAGAAAGGTAGATCTGGGTTTGTTTTTTTTTAGTTACAGAAGCAGATTATAAACATCTTGCACAGTTGAAGGTATCTCTTCTTTTCAAATGCTGTTGGTTACAGTACTCTACTCATCCCTCAGCATGTAGCAAAAACGCATAAAGACCACAGATCTAGAGATCCAAGGGAACAAAATTACTCCTGCAACTCCAAAACCAGAACCAGTCAGAGCACACTGTACATCTCAAAGGGAGACACACCTCATCTTTTCCCAGGATGCAATGCAAAGCGAGCCTACATTCCCAAACCATAAAAACATGGAATAAACATGAACCACACTTATGTACAGTATCAACTGAATGCTTGATTCCCAGGTGGAGAAATAAGGCCGTTATTAGTTCACTACAAGATCATCTTTTACTAGAAAAAACTATGAAGAAAGTCTCAACTGAGGAGAGCAATAAGAAACTTAAGACTGAGTTTGAATTCAATTCTACTTAAAGAAAGGTTTTCCTTTCCTCAACAGCTGTATCAACTGACTGAATGGGACAAAGCAGCCCATTCCCGTCTTTCATTCAAGACAACTACTGAAGCTCTTTTCTCCACACCTCAAAAGAGGTCCTTCAGGATTTTTGAAGGCCAGATGTTGTCAGGATTTGACTCACTGAAGTACCAACATGCTTACTGCAATGGTCTGATCAGTTTTTATGCTCTCAGCAGTAACCCTACCTCAAAAGCCACCAAAATTATGTCAACTGTTGAAACTGAAGTTTAGACACCTCTGATTTAAGAATTGAGTATTCAGATCACTGTTTCTAAAAGTGGAAATACTGAATAATTTCCATCTACTTACAGGGAATGGGGCGTTTTGTTCTGTTATTCCCAGGTTCAGCAATACTACTACCATCTGTTGAAGACTCTTCTCTCAGAGTCTGGGAAGTGGAACTTCAAGAGGTAGCAAGTAGTAGAGCTGTAAGGTATATCCTAAACCCAGTTGTGGAAGCTTTAAAGCTACTGAAAACAAATAGCACTTATACATGTAAGTAACAATTGTATATCAAAGGCTGGTGAGTCGAGCAATAATTGGGATGTCTGGTTAGATTATGTCCTGGTGCCAAAGACAATGCTACAGCAAGACCCCTTCTTTCAAGCTTGCACAGACGTTGTGGTGGGAGGGACACGGAACTATCAAGGGCAGTATGAGGAACTTTGCAGAAATGGAATTTAAAAGCCTTCAGACTAACTCCACAAGTTGCTTTTGAGTCCCCATCTAAATTAAGAAGTTCTGTTACCTAAAAAAAGAGAAGTCTTCAGAAAAGAAAGTTAACATCATAGCTTTTCAGTATCTTCTACCAAGATAAGCTTTTAAATATAAGGAGTGCAACTTCAGACATTTAGCTCTATACATCTTCAGATAAAATTAAATTTGTACTTTACTCACCTCCTAACTTCTTCAGGAAAAGTGGCACTAAACATTAGTGTTTGACGCATGTCTTTTGGTGGCATACCTGGGTAAGAAACCAGGTTCTTCATATCTAACCCAAAACCCATATCAAGCATGCGGTCTGCTTCATCTAGCACCAAGTATTTCACATTATGCAAACCAATCTGCAATGATTTCATTGAAAGAAAAACTGTATTGGTTCACTGACAGTATACACTTATAAAATGCCCTAATGACTAAATCCAACTTTCACTTATTTCTTTCTATTATAAGTTAATTATTCACAAATAAAAGCCTAACTGCATTACGTTTTACTTGCATTTCAACCTTTAACTTTTCAATATGCACTCATTCTAATAGTATGTGTACACTGAAGTGCTTCAGAACTTGGTTCAGCAATGTAAATCAAGACAGAGCCTACAGATCAACTGTTATTCAGCACATCTATTTTGAAATTATGTTTTAGAAAGGTTCCCTCCTATAAACCTCATTCTCAAAAAACATCTTGTTCTGAAAAAACTCATGTCAGAAAGCATTAAGGGTATCACAACTTCACTGCTGCTGACCAATATCGTAATTCTGACTTGAAGTCTGACAACTGCAGAAAGCCAATCTTCAACTTATTAATACAAGTGTTTTTCCAAATCTCATTTGTCCAGTGAAATATCACTGAGCCACCATTATAATATGTAGTAATTTCAATCTGCACTTGTAACAACTGGAAAAATGAAGATTCAAATACAGTATTACACCCGGAGTTTTTGAATAAAATTAGTATTAGAACAGTCAAGAAATTAGTATTAACACTGTTCCAGACAGAGAAAAGCTATTGCAGCAAACAAACAAAAGATAAAGTGAAAATCTGCTATGGAATTTTCCACAAGAACTAAAAAAAAGTGTTCCATGTACTTAAACCACAATATTTAATATTTAATTGCCAAGAACATTGCAGCCATTTTGACTTAGACTGGTATTTTCCAGTGGGCCCTGAAAGTCCCTGAATTTGGACTCTGCTACTCTTTCAGAAACCTCATTGTATTCAGACACTCCAAGAAAAGCTCTTAAGTGGCAGTAAACTGGCTGGTTTTCATGGCTGTATCTTCGCTTCTGTCAAAGTTGAAGAATAAAAATCAGTATGCAAAAAGCTAAGCATGTTTCAGGAATTCAGACTAAGTTTTAAGATCTTACCTTGCCTCTTTCAATGATGTCTAGAAGTCTTCCTGGAGTTGCACATAATATATTACAGCCTTGCATTATATGACGAATTGAATGGCCTGTTTGTGTACCTCCATAGATCACAACAGGCCTTATACAAGTTCTATTATATAGGAAAAAAAAGACTCATTATGTAAGTAAGTTCTGTTTTGAAAAGGCAGAGCTAAAACAGCTTGCCTGAGCTGCAAGATTTCTGCTCAAGGCCACTCTCTACTGAGAAGCTGAGTTATTAGAAACCATCACTAAAAGTTAACTTAAAAGCCCTAATACATACCTCAATTTTTACCAAAATGAAGTATAAATTAAGTAAGGCAAGCTAAATTTAAGTTACATTATTTGAGAAATTTCATGTTTTTCATCAGATGTGACACAAGTTTAGTGCTTATCTCCTCTTCAAGCTGAAGTAAGCCTTCCTCCCCAATCCAAAGTATCAGGAAGATCAGCCAGTTTCACCGTGTAAATTAAAGTGCTTATAGTCATTCAATTGGCATAGAATTTTTTTTAATTATTCATTAAAAAAAGCACTGCTGATTTAGACAAAGTAATAATCAATGCCAGGCAACAGTGCAAAAGCTTACCCATACACAAATTTCCTTGCTTCAAGGAAGATCTGATTTATCAGTTCTCTAGTTGGGGCAACAATAATACATTCTGGTTCTTGATGCTCTTTAAAGCTGCTAGCAGTCACACCATCTCTCATCATGTGGGCCACAATTGGTAGAAGGAAAGCTGCCTAAAAAAAAGCATCAGAATTTATTCTGTTTAGCTCTAAAGCTTCCATCAGCCACACTCAAAGCTGCGTATCAATCTTAAAGGTAGAATAAAGCACACTATCACCTTCAAGGAAATCAGACTGCAAAATAATTGACCTGAATGCACTACAGAACATTAAAGCTTTTATATTCTTGTTTAAGAAACACGAAAATATCTCTCAGGACCTTAAGAGCATAATAATGCTGGAACACAATCATGCACTAGGTTCTGGGTTCATTCTGGGTTCTCCAGGCAGTTCCACATATACTGACATACACTGATAATTATGTACCCCAAGATCAAAATCCCTCCTTAACATTTACTTACAAGCTTTGCATTAACATCAGTAGATTCATACAGTAATCATGTATCACCATTCTCCAGACTACAACAGCAGAACAGTTTGTAACACAGCTGCACCAGCAACCTTACTTCCATTTAAGACTAGCTACCCCCAAAACAGAATCTGCACAGCAGACCCAAAGGCATTCAGAATATTTACAGCATAAACTTCAGACATTTCTTCCTCTGCAAACAGTGCACAGTTTTCAAACCAAGTACTAATAAGCTACATAAAAAAGCTGGAATTCTACACAATACTGCATGGCAAAAAATATACTTAATATCAAAATATTATACAGAGCCATCAGTGGTTAGATCAGGGTATGCCAAGTACTGAACAGTTTTAACAAGTTGACACAGCTATTAACTTAGTATAAACTCTCAAAACAGTTCCATGACTAATACTGAATCTCCTAAAACTAAGGCTGGTGTAGATCAGACTTCATCAAACCAAGGATGACAAACCAGCATAACACATTGCTACAATCTAGCATAAATTTAAAACCAACAAACAAAAAAATCAACAAAACGAAACAACCACCATACAAAACCAAGCCACAAACAGTACACATCAGAAATAAAAAACACAAAACACGTATCATGAATATGAGAAAAAAAAATTACTGTAAAGGTTACAGAGCACTGAACAGGCTGCCCAGAGGTTGTGGAGTCTCCTTCTCTGGAGACATTCAAAACCAACCTAGACATGTTCCTGTGTGACCTGGTCTAAGTGATCCTGCTCTGGCAGGGGGTTGGACTGGATGATCTTTCGAGGTTCCTTCCAACTCCTAATATTCTGTGTATCAACAAATAAAACCACCTAAACAAAACAAAACCCCACAACACAGCTTTCAACTGCTGAGGCATTTCCTCTCATGAGCAGTTTCCATAACTCTTTATACTTCTGAATCTTTATCTGTAGCCCTGAAGACTGGCCTGCTAGTTCAAGACACTAGTTCATCGATATTAAAAAGAAATTATGCCAAAGCAAGCAACTATCCATCCATTATTCGTGTCTGTGCTTAATACCACACCTGCCACTACAAGTGCAAGTCAAATCACTGGGCAACGAGCTGTGAAGCATCTAATGTCATTTTAATTTGGAAGTCTGAGGCATCTACCTGAAAGTTCAAGGTCACACACTTCCAGTAATATGAATACTACACAAAATCCTTACAGTTTTTCCTGATCCTGTCTGAGCACATGCCATTAAATCCCGTCCTGCCAGTATAATAGGAATGCTGTGCTTCTGCACTGGAGTAAGTTTAGAGTATCCAGCCTTAGCAATGTTCACATTTAAAGCGTGACAGAGGTTTGCTTCTTTAAAAGCCTGTAAGAGAAAAAAATATTAACAGTACATAACCACAGAAATTTAAAAACTGAGACACTTGCCACAGGATACAGACACCCACATGCTAGAAGTATTAACTTTTGATGGGGTCTCAATCTACACTGCTAACATTCCTACAGGTAAAAGCCCCAAAGGTTCCTTCAGCCTGCTCATGCCATTCAAGTGAAGTTGTTTGTAGGACAGTGAAGGCCATCAGCTGGTCTTACTAGCTTTGAGAAGTCATACATCTGGATTCAAAGAGGGATGGGATGCTCTGAAAACAAACTAACACTTCTCTGTTTCATTTCATATAGGAGATACACACTCAAGTTACTGTGCTAAAATTAGTAAAGGGAGCTAAAGCAAAATCTCTATCCAGTACAAGAAAGCATCATATATGACAAAAAAATCAGTATAACTTCAGTGAGAAGATGGGCAAGGGAAAAAATTGCATCTTCTCTTTCAGCACATGTTCTACTACCCCCTCCACTTTTCTTCTTCATTCTTCTCCCTAAAAAGAGCTTTTTTTTTTGGTAAGTATTAGCCATCTGGTATGGAATAGAACCAAAGTTACATATTGCTTAAACAAACTGTAGCCATAGAAAGCAGGGTTAGAAACTGCTTCAAAAACCTCATGTCCAAATTAAAACTATTCCTACAAGTGTTCATTTACATTGTTAATATCCCCCATAACAGACTTCAGCAATATGACTCTGCCAGTCTTCCCAGAAACAGCTGCCAAAGACCACTTTCTTTCAAGATCTAAACAGGTATTTTTCTGCAATTTAAGTACTACGCTTCCTGTCCATCCAGAATTACTTTCTCTGGGCCACTTCTGCAGTTTGTCAATGTAATTTTGAATTAAAATGGTATCTTTCAAATGGGTAGCACCCCTTTTCCACATAATGTTGCAAGATTCAAAATCTTTATTAATATTTTCATTACCAGTGAATATTAAAATCAGTATACATCCTTGCAGAATCACTCTCAACATCAACACTGATATTAATGAGTTCACTAACCTTTAATGGTTCTGGAGGGTTAAGTCCTGACACTTTAACTGTGTTTTCATCATACTTGTCAAAATTACTTCCCATTTTATAATGTGCAAAGATGGCCTGCTCATCATCAGGTGGAGAAGGCGGCACATAAGTCACCCTTGGACCTGAAGAAGACAGCCACCAAAGTCCATGAACGACAAAGAAAACTAGGAATTCTATAGCACTCCGTTCTTCATTTACGTGATAACAACTGCTGTGTTGCCCAGTAATTTAAAGATGAACAAAGCATAAACACACTGAGTTTAACAGTATTTGCTTGGCAACTTGTTACACAAACACTGAGATGATTATGCATTTAACAATATCACTACCTTGTTACCCAATTGCTTACAACTTCAAGAGAATGTTCCTTGAGTTAAAAGCTAATTAAAACTGGCGTGTTACTGGTGAAGAAGCTACTTACCTCTTTTAGAGCCTTTTTCTTGATTCCATTCTTTGTAAGCTGCTGTTAAAGAAAGTTTTCCAAAGTTAATTGCTTTTAGGAAAAAAAAAACCTCATTTGAGAGAAAATGTAAATAAGAACTGTAATGAAAAATTGCCACGGGCACTTAGAAAACTCAACAGTAGAATGAGTGGAAATACTTCTGTAAGCAATGAAAGCTTAGTTACAAAAAGCCAGAAGACAAAGGCCCAATATTCCTGTGTTAAAAGGGCAGAAAGAGAACACTGAGCTTAGCAGGATCTCACAGTAAGAACATATAGAAACTAAACCCAGCATACAACCCAACATCTGGTCCTTACTTTATATGTAATAAGTCACTGTCATTTAGACAGTTGTTTTAAAGAGGCAGGCAGCAGTATGACTTGGATCAGGAATGCTCTGTTCAGCAGCAGTACTCCTAAGCAACTGTAAAACCACAGCTTCATCAAGATGGTAACACAGAATCTATGCAAAGATGCAGCACAGTGTGTAAACACTTTCAAATAATTTTTCCATCAGATGTAACACGCTTACACAGCGTACCTCTAATTGCGAAAAGCTTAACTGTTTTAGGAAAAGTCAGCACAGCCCTAACTTCACTACCTCTACGAACACTATTAGACCCCTATTTAGAGATGGAGGCAGCACAATAGCCTAATAAGGCTTGCTCTATCCTTCTCTAGATACAGACACATTCTCTTACTACAAAAGGACACACTTCCCATGCAACAAACTACTTTTTATGAAGAATTAGCTTTGCAAGTGAACCTCTACACAGGCTAGTGCAACTGTTGCCTACCAATATCCATGTCTTTACATACTAACACTTTACACAATGCTCACAAAAAAGTAAAAAAGGGTGCAGTTACATCCACTATGAATATTAGCACATTGCACATATAAACATGTAAGTTTCCAAAAATAATTATTTGAAATAAAATCTGAAAAATCTAATCTGAGCTAAGTCAAATAGAGACAACTCAATTGTTCTTTGGATATTAAGAAACTTTTGAAAAAGCATACTAATTGTATCTTTTCTACAGTGAAAAATTCTTTTACCAGTATCACACAAAATATTCTTACATTGAGAATATCAGGCATCCACTACCTACTATACTAGTTTAATGGTATTTCCAATTTGAATTACAGGGCCTTTGTGAGTAGTAGATTACTATGTTCTAGGTAGCACCACACGTTACAAGTTACAGCAGCATTAGTGGCAAAAGAAGATGGGACTATAAGGGGAAAATCCTTCGTAGACAGAAAAAAAACCCTCAACAGTACAGTAAAGTCATCAGGAAGAGCTTGCCTCTCAGAGCTACAAACCTTACTTGTCATCCTGGACAAACCTAGAGCAATACTTCCCTTTATATGAGAGGTGGAAAAAGTCTAGAGTGACAATTTCAAAACCGAGCAAGTTGTTAAAGCCTTGCTTTGAATTTTGGGGTTAGCACCTTCACTTCACTGTGCATTAACTGGCCCAGTAACAGCAGGAGCAAAAAAAACACGGAAGACAACAGCTTTGAAAATCCAATTACTAAAATTTATGCAAGTTACAAACACCGCTTGCATGCCCCCACAAGACATCTTACATTTGCAGTACATTCCTAATTCAGGCAGTGAACAATCACAGCGACAGCACTTAGCAAAGCTAAGAAGGTACGGCAATGCCGCAGATCAATAATGTGGAAGTCTGAAAGGTTCACCACTGTCCTGGTTTTGCTGGGATTGAATGAATGAATGGCTGCTGAAATTTCAAATTATTAACCTTTTCAATGCACACTACATACAAGAGGCAGAAAGAGGACAGGGATTACAAACAGGAAAAAGAGGGATTAAATATAGGTTTATGGACACTAAAGCAAGCAAGCTTTCAGATCTTCTGCAGAAGAGCGCTGGCACACTCCCTCACATGGCATATATGTGAATACTAATATTCAGCTGCCTTTTATACTATATTATGACAACTCAATCAGAAAAACAACCCTCTTCAGGGAGAATGAAATCAAACGCAAACAAAACACTGGTTTTAAATGTGGAGACCTGTTTTCTGGCAAATATAGTGGGATACTTTATGTTGTGCAGTTAAAACCAAGGGGTGAAACTGAGTGCCTACATTACACAGAAATAAGTATTGTTATTACCCTCCAAGTCATACATACTCATTTGGCTCTGATTCAAAGCCCAGTATGTGAATAGGGAAAACTTAATGTATCAAATATGACTAATCACTAAAATTAGACACTTCAGAAAGTTACCTCTGTTCCCAAAATTCGTTCTGCTACCAAATCTATTCACTGGTTGATGCTGTCTGTTCAGATATTCATCCGCATCTATAATTAGAAAAAAGAATCAACTACAGATTCAAAGCTGTCTTTGACTTTAGGGTCAGCTTTTGGTTTTGGTAAGATTTTGGCATTCTTTCCGTTGTTTCAGTTTGGTTTTTTTCTAAACTAAATAGCAAAATTACAGAATCATTCAGGCTAAAAGGGACCTTCTCACTCAAAAAAAAACCATAAAACAAAGGTGTCCTTTTATAAGACAACAAAAAATAATTAAAATTACAAAACTTAGGCCAGGTGTAACTACTGTTTTCCATAAAGAACAGCACCATTCAGCAACAGCACTGCTACTAACACAGTAAAATCTGAGTTCCCAAAATCTACTCGGATACCAGTTCCAAGGTCCTTCATTCTGAACAGAGGACCTTCCAAAAGGAAGGATTAGTCACCCCCAAAATACACATTTTAACCATGCAATTTTAACCTCTACTTCTAGAATACCCTCCAAAATAATCCTGCTTACACTCACTTCTGATAGGTCTTCCAGCAGCACCTGGAAATTGAAAAGAAGAAAGTAAGGCTTTTGACACTGTCGCATAACATCCTCATACACAAACCAATGAAGTCTACACAACTGGACAGCGAGGAGGACTGAAAGTAGGCTGAACTACTGGGGGACCAAGGGTTGTGATCAGCAGAACAAACTCCAGCTGGGAGGCCAATCACTAGCAGAGTACCCTATTGATTGACACTGGACTAACAGAGTTTATCATCTTCATTCATGAGCTGGGTGATGGGACAGAACCCTCAGCAAGTTTGCAGACAATCTGGGACATAACACAGGGCAGTGTTTCACTCAGAGGAAACTCAAAATATGCTAAGAGACACGGTCAGGCAAGAACCTCGAAGTTTAACATAAAAATGCAAAATCCTGCACCTGGGGTGGAATAACTCCAGGTACCAGTAAACACTGGCGCCAGCAAACTGGATAGCATCTCTGCAGAGAAAAACCTGAGGGTGTGGCACATAGCAAACTGAACACAAGCCAGCAACATTCCCTTGCAGTAAAGGCCAACAGCCATCTGAGCTTCACTAGGAAGAATGCTGCCAGCAGGTTGGGACAGGTGCCCCTCCCCACTGATGCTGACATAGCTGGAGTGCTGCACCAAGTTCTCAGCTGTCCAGTACAAAACAGATACTAGAGTCAGCCCAGCAAATGACCACAAAGAAAACTAAAAGACTGGTGCATCGGTCACTCTGTTCCAAGAACTGGAACTGCTGTGGCTGGTGTCAAGAAGACTCAAAGGATCTAACACCTTATCAGAATCACAGAACCACAGAATCACAGAACA